GTAAACGTACTTCTCCCGAAAGGCATCCAGGTCAGCAAGGGACGGGCCTGCAAGAGACAACTTTAACAAGTTGCGACCTCCTAAGGTTCCGAGCCTACCTCGTTCTAACTGAAAGTGCTTGAAGATAGCACGCAACATGATTCTCCCTACGGGCATCCCACCTGACGAGATTCTCTCTTGTTCAACCATATTCTGAAACAAGAGCCCGAACTTACCTTTGCGGCAGGTCTTAAGGAGCTTTGCGGCTATTTCACGATCTAACCGTGGGAAACGCTTGTCCGCGACGAGTTCTTGCTCGGTGGAGGACATGCATGCTTGGGCCCACTGGTAAACTTCATCTCCGGGGGTCTTCTGGAGTCGACCGATGGCCATCAAAACTTGGTTGATGAAACCTCTAGCCTGACCAGCGTTCTCCGGAGGGGATGGCAACACGAGATCCTTGAGGTCCTTGACGCGAACAACGGATTCCTCATGCGTGGCGTGATCGTTGGCGGTCATGCCTGCACTAGGATCGGCAGCTTGAGACGGGTCTGCATCGGGGAACTGGCCAGGGCCTCCCCCACCTCCCCCACCACCATTCATGGTGAGGTATGGGCAATCCGTGTCTTCATGGCTGCCGCCGCAAACTCGACATTGTGGGGTATCATCATCTCCATTGGAGTCTGATGATGTGTCGGAGCTTGCTGCCGATGGCGCTTGCGGGGATGACGAGTATAACCCTCCCAACATTGTGATTGGTACTGGTGGAACATGAGTGCCATTGCCAGCTTTCGGCGGAGGCGGCGCCCCAAAAAGGGGAATGGGAGGCACTGGAGGTGGTGCGGCCGGAGGCGGAGGTGGCGGAGCCACTTGATTAGCAACCAATTGGGAAAGCTGCTGAACCATTTCCGCTAAAGCCGTCACTTGCACTCTCACATCGGCTTGATCCCTTGAACCGTCTCTACCCAACCCGCTAGTCCTCGACGCGCCGGGGGCTGCGTCTCCAACAGAGGACGCTGCTCCTAGCACTGCCGAATGGCCTACGAGATGTTGACTTGTTGCACCCCCACCAGGGTCCCTTGAATCAGCTGGGGCATCGTGACCAAGTCCTGTACTTTGAACAGAACCACACGGAGGGTCGGGGATAGTACTTGTAAAAGCATTCCCTTGCGACGATGCGGCAACACCGGAGGTATCTTGTGAACTTGAAACCTGAGGCGCTCCAACCGGCTGATGGGTTCCTGGGGGAACTGTGCCTTGACTTGAGGCTTTAGCCGCGCTTGTTTCCGTAGCTGTTTCGGCTATTGATGCGGCTTTCGGCGGGGACTCTTGCATCGGAACAGGGGTCGCACGAGCTTGTTGGGTGAGCTGCGCAACAACACGTTCGAGATCACCAAGTCGTTGATGCATCACAGAATTTTCCTGGGACAATCCACGAATGGTATGCTCTTGACTGGCAATGGTTTGCTCCCTTTGTAGGATTGCCTGTTGAGCTTCTTGAACAATGCGTTGAACCTCTTGCTGAGCGTCCTGTTGAGTGGCATTAACAACCTGTCGTGCGTTCTCGACATGGCCTAAGGCTTCCTGTCGTGTCTGCTCAATGAGTTGCCTAGCCTGAGCCTCACTTTGTTGTGCTGTTTGAACAGCCTGCTGTGCTTGCGAAGCTAGCTGAGCGGCCTGAACCCTAACGTCTGAAACTTCTCTTACAGCCCTTTCCCTGATCCATCCGGCCTCTTGTCTCGCCTGATCGGCGGCCTGCTGTTGATGCAAGGCGTGATTGGCTGCCTGGGCAGCGAGGTCGGATGCTCGATGAGCTTGCTGCACCGCAGCTCCAGCTATAAATGCCGCAGCGGGTACGTTAGTCATCGGGTCAGGTAATTGCGATCCCTGTGAAGGAAACTGAATGGCTGGGGAAGCTTCGGATGATGTCGGTTCTGACACGATCGGACCACTCGGGGGTGATGATGGTCGTGTTTGGGCTGCTCTTTGAGGTGTGGATGTGCGAACTGTGGACATAACTGCAGGAACCATGGCTAGGTCAGGGTCATCCGGTTCGGAATCCCTATTTGGGGTTGACCTTGAACGGGGTTCTGATGGCGGTGACAAACCCGTTGAAGCCATGACACAGCAATGCAACTTTTGCACTCACACGAAGCTAGCTCCACGCGCTTTGAGCAGCGTGTCAAAAGGTGCTACGAGGAGATATCCCTGGATTGGCAGCTGATTGCGACACGCTCAAGTGAGCCACTCAAGAAAATACGTTGCGAAACGCTCAAGTGAGCCACTCAAGAAAATGCGCCCTGCTGCTTTGCACCTGATGAATTCTGTATTTGTAATTGTACTTGTAGATTGATTGATCCGCACTGCCGCACTATGGTGCTTTATCGAGGGATGTTGCCAAGCTGTATTGAGAATTTGTCTGCAAATCGAAGGCTTGTAATTGCAAAAGCTGTACCGCGCAAAGCGACGGTTTTAACGGCTTGCAGCAATGGCTATCGAAGTACCCGGCTGGCGGGCAGCTGGGATGCAGATCGGTGGATCTCCTCGAGGTACTGCGATGGATGCAGGCCCCTTGCCGCCGGAATGGATTGTCTGTTCCGGGACTCGATGAACTCACCAAGGTTCTCAAGCGCGTTGGCAAATCCGCTCGGACCGAAGTGCGGAAAGTTGCGGAACGCCGCGATGCCTGTCTTTTGAGCTTCACGGACAATCGATGCTGTATCGTCAATAAGGGCGTGTACGCCCAGCCCTTGCAGGGCGTCTGCTTTGCCTCCCCTTCCCAACCGTTCGTGAACGATTTTTATCGTAGAAAAAGTGAGTCCAGATGTTGTCCGCGCGTGCTCCAGGGCGACCTGAAATTCGCGGCGGCGATACTCGCTTGCAGCCCTGCCTACGAAGGATAGCACTATAAAATTTATAGGTGCGTAGTCCGCGGCAAACTGAACGAGATGTCGGATCACTTCCGGGTTGAGGTGGGGTCCCTGCTGCCCAACGTCAAGAACTCCGTGCCAGTCAAGAGCAACAACAAGCTCCTTGGGCGGCACCGGCCTTCCAGGCGGAGGTGGCGGCGGCGGGGGCGCAGGCGGTGCCCTCCTTGGTGGCGAGCGGAATCGCGTGCCAGCTTCAGGAGTTGCAGCGCTAGCAGCAGCTGCTTGAACGACCTGCGGAGGTGGCGGCTTGACGATGTACCCGAATTGTGGCGGGTTTGAGCTCGATTTGCTTCTGGGTTCGGCCTTGTTCAAGCCTCGCGGAGGTGCCTTGTACCCGAATGCACTCTGAGTCCGAACCGGAGATCTGGCCCTTGGCGGTGACTTCCTCGGGATGTCTGCCTTTGCAGGCGCTGGAGAAACTGCCTTGGGGACCTCCTTGGGCAACGGTGGCTTGCTGCCGAAGATGACCTTGGGAGCGGCCTTTGGGGGCGGCGGTTGAACTGCCCCGATTCTTCGGCTGTGAAGCGCGATGGGCTCGGAGTGAGTCGGCGCCTCGTAAACGCGCCGAGGCACGTATGCTGACCTGCCCGTCCTGATGGACTCCAAGTTTTGCGGTGGGTCCTCGTCCGAGCTGTAGGCGTCGAGGCGGAAGGTTTCCGCAGGCGCCGGGCGGCGGTCAGGAGACCGTGAGCGTGAGCTCGTGGAGGACCTCCTTGGCGGGTCCCTCCACGTCTCGTCAGCGAGGAGGTAAGGATCGGCTTGGCGAAGCTGCCCAGACGTCCGTTGCGCTCGCCGACGAGGAGCCGCTTCACGTGGTTGTGATGCCTCCCGCACCAATACCCAGGTACCGTGTTCGTCAAACCTCGTCACAGGGTAAATGCTATTCTGTGGAGCCAAAACGATGGGCCGAGTGGCTAGGGAAGTTCTGGATGGCCTTCCCTCCCGCGCAAGCGCGGGTTCAACACTATGGGCCCGTGGTTCCACAGGGGCAGCAGCAGTTGGTCCTCGTCTCGGTGATGTCGATGGAGACCTCGACCTTCTTGGCGATGGGGACCTCGATCTTTGTGTTGATCGCTCCCTGCTGCTCTCCCGCCGCGTTTCCGCAGCTTTAGCGTATACCCCGCGAAGAGTTGACTTTGCGGCTTGTCTTTCCTCTGCAGATGGCCGAATGCGAGGCAAAGGAGTGCGCGAATCTTGCAACCAGGAGGAAGCTGATGGAGGCGTCGGAGGACGAAGCCAGTCCGCTGCACTGCTTGATGCTCCCGCCGCGCCTGAGGCTGCGGCTTGATCCTGAGATGGCGCACCCTGCGGCAATACCACTCCTGTGGTTTCAACCAATGCGAGACGCTGCTGATAAGCGTTGTCCGCGGCCTGGATCACGTCGAAGGCTTCTTGGTCAAAATTCCACAGGTGCCAACTATCCAGTGACTCACGCCAGGAGAAGAGCGCCTCGACCTGTTGCTTCGAGGCGTCCGCAAACCTGATCCACCGGAATCGTCTGTTCTGCCGCTTGTACTCGTCGACGACGATCTGTTGCAGAGTGTTGTACAATCGGGCACGCGGCCCTTTCCCACCGCGTGTGCCGCGGTGAGGGCCGACTTCCATGTGCGACCAACAGGTCGCAGTCACGGAAGGGTTTGTTTACCCGAAAAGCGTTACGGCTGATAACCACTCAAAGGAGAGGGAAACACAGTTTTGTCAACAACGGGGGAACCCGGGACCTTAAAAGGAACGAACCCCTCCGTGACTGCGACCTCTCCCTTAACCTTGGGGCTAGCGCGGTGCAACGCGCTGTTTTCAGCACTTGAGCCAAAGCAGTGATTGGAACATGCTTTGGCAACCACTTGAATGTACAACATGCAACTGACTACATGAGAACCTACCTCATGTACCTCTGGGCCATAAATGTCATCGTGATAATTGACTGTCCCAACCCCTGGCTCTCACAACCCTGAAGCAAACAAAAAAAATGAAGCCAATAGAAATGGGATGCCCCTTTGTCGTTGAGACGCCTCTTTTTGCACCATGCAGGGCCTGGCCTTTTGGCTTCGAAGTTCGAGCCAGACTGAAAAAAAGGAAAGGCGCTCGGTCCAGGGGTAGAGCACCAGAGCGGGGACCAGGTGCGTTACGGAGATCACGAAAAACACCTCAGCAGGACTTACACTTTCCGTCCCAGGGATGCAACTTTTGTGCTTTCCTGGACGGGTGTGTCTTTTGGTGTCAGTATTGTACATGGCATCCAGACCGCCTGGAACTGCCGCAAGCATTGCGAACAAGAACTCGTGCAATGACCCTTTGGACCTATACGAATTTACCCATGGAGTGGTTCGAACAAGAATCTAGGTGGTGTGTCCTTGTGTGCCTTGTGCACCGACAACTTCACCTTTGCCCAGGGCTGAACAGTTCAGTCAGCAGCTCTTCCGTGGGAGCCGCCTACACATGTCTTTCGCGCTGCGACATGCTCTGCGGCAAACCGATTCGGCGTCGCATAGGCAAACACTGCTTGGGCTCGGCACATCAACGCCGCGCCGCGCAAGGTCAACAGACGTGGGTTGTTCAATCTGCTCGTGTTGCCTGGCTTCGCTTGGCTTCACTCGGCTTGATTTGGCACAAGCGCTCTCATCAAACTCAGTGCGGCAAGCGCCTTTCGCGCAGTCACTAGCGACTGCTTGCGGCAAACCGGCTCTGCGTCGGATAGGCAAGCTCTGCTAGGCACGGCAACGCTGCGTGTTGTCGGGCTTCCCTACACTTTTCTGGCCTTGATTTGGCGCAAGCGGTCTCGTCAAATTCGCTGCGGCGAACACTTGCAGCCGCCTACACATCTTTTGCTCAGCAGCTATGCTCTGCGCAGGCCCAGCCTTTTTCCTTTTATCTGCGATAAGTGGAGTTGCACCGTTGTAGCGCTTGCATCTGGCATCTTGAGGAAACGACTTGCCCAATTGTTTTGCCCCCCGAAACCAAGGTCAGCGAACCAGTATCTTCAACTGCCCCAGACCAGGGCACCTATCGCTGCATCTCTGTCAACAACTTTGTTTGATTTCAGGTGCTGCAAGGTAGGTCTCAGCATCAGTCTTGCTCATTGCACCACGCAGCTTCACTGAACGCAGTGGATCGCTTGTGGTCTGTGGCGTTACAAAGCATCCAAACACACTTGTCCAAGCCAGGCATGCGAGAGCACTATGCCACTTGCGTGAGCCGGCCATTTTCAAGAATTTAGTGATAAGTATTCAGAACCTGCCAGGTCATCGGAAGGCAACAAGTAATGTGAACATGCAATGTGGTTTTGAACAGGCTGCAGCGCACACCGAGGAACACCAAGTTCCATCAATAAGTTTGAAACTGCAGATGTCAAATACTTCATGTACAAGATATGTGCAAGTGTGCCTTGATGCGCCGCAAAAACGGTAAACATTGCGACTGATTTCCCAAGCATTCTCCTGGAGCTTCTATGACAACATCACTTTTCGTATGCTGCATAAAACAAGTGTTGCGCCTTGGCAACTGTCACTCATGGCGAAGCTTCCCACGTGATTACCGCCATGCTGTACACTCTGGACAAATCAACCTCTATGCCACTGTTTCCATAGTCTCCTTTTAACAGGAGCCCGGCAGTCTCTTTTTGTGCATGGTGAATCCAGAAGCCGCGACGGAACTTGCCCCCGAACTGTTGCTGCCAGCACCAAGCTTCACTAAAGACCTCTAGCGCCTCTTCATCGTCCTCCTCTTCAGCGTCCTCATAATCCTCTCTCCTCTCAATAAAAGGAAGATTCTCAGGCACAAACTCTCCAACCAAGATCTCTTCTGTGAAGCTTTCCTCGTAGAACGCCGCAGTGACGCTGGGTTGCAGGCCGCGTTCTTTTAAGAGATCTTTGAGCGCCAGGAAGAGTTGCAAGTCGGCGCCCTTCAGCGAGCCTCCCGAATAGTCCACTGTTCTCAACAAGGAGAAAAAGGAAAGACCTTACTGAACCCTAGGCGGGCTAAGAACGGCCAAGATACTGGTGTAGCAAGGGGATGGCCACCGAATCGAACTCGGAGTGTTCAAGTAGCTCTCTGAGCAGTCCCTTGACTTTCTCCGAGGCCAGGATTGGCAAAGGTCCTTCGCGCTCTGTAACAATATGGTAGTGCAAAGTAACTCGAACACCCTGTGACACTGGAGAGATTTCATGGGTGCAGTCTGCAAAGAAGGCAGCCCATTGAACACTTCGGGTTGACTTCTTCGCCCAGTCCAGAATCTCTGCGTCGCCTTGGGGTGATGTGACTATCAGCTCTCCTCCTTCAAAAGTCTGCGGCAGACAAACGACCAAAGACCGTAAGAGATTTGCTTGCACTGGTGTGTCCTTGTGTGCCTTGAAAAAGCCACCCTCGGGGTACACCGACAACTTGTCAAACTCCAGTCTGCGGGGAAGAGGCTTCGTTGAGCGAGCGGGGCCAAGCAATTCGCAAGTTTCAAAGAGTTGCGGACCTCCACGTTTTCTGGCGTCAGCTCACGGGCATTTCTGTAATTGGTATCCACCACCGTCCGTGCACCTTTGCCCAGGGCTGAGGGGGCACAAGCTTGCACGAGAGTGTTCAGGTCATTAGAATCTGAAATGTTCGTCCAGCCCGAAGATGTTGGCACAAGCAGCGTGTCCTTTAAACCTGGGCCGCCTGGCAACTTTTCATGGACGCAGCAGGTTGCTTTGCTGAGCTCTGCTTGCAATTCGTTCAGAGGTGTTGCCTTGAGGTGAGCCCTGCGAGGTATATTGCGCACTGGCCGCAGAAACAGCTGCCACCGCGCACGGAATGCCACTGCAAGAAGCAGGCCCTGCGAAAACCTCCGAGCAAAAGGACGCGTCATGACACTCGAGCCGGTAGCTGCCTCGTTCAAGCATGTTCAAGCAGCCTAGCATGCATGCTGGGAGGGATTGGTGTTTCAACTCAGAAAAACTCAGAAAAGTCCGGTTCTATGCCATATCGAACAAGCCACTAAGTACGAGCACCGCAAGCTGCCTCTACATGCCCTTCTTTGCTTCTCCAGCTTCCGCTGCCCCACATGGTTGCTACGAGTGGCCTCCTAGCAGAAGCTGAGCGTTGCGTTTGTCACGCTGGTCTGCCTGCCATTTGACCTTACGAAAGTGCCGCGCCTGCCACAACCAACCAGGACCATCAGAACCATGCCGGAAATGCGCATCAAGCGCAGGGAAGTTCAACACCCATTCCGACTCCGGCTTATCACGTGGTTGGAACTCCCAAACCAAACCAGGCATGTACTATCTCTACTTTTAGTGCGAATCTAAATCTTCGGCGTGAGACTTTTGTGGTCCGGGATCGATGCCTGTATACAAAATCTGAAACGGAGATTGACATCACGCTCAGACTTAAGGCAAGTATATGATAGCTGCTGACATCATAGTGTGGTAGGATTATTTCTGGCACGTTGTAATGAAAATCCATCCGTAAAGATCGACCGAAAGCAGTACTCCATTGAACAGCGATCCGATAACCAGAATTAGTTATCAGCGCAGCAACTGACATCATCAGCACATATGCGTGCGAACAAGTATGACATGGAAAACCATCACATAGTCTTGAAGTCGTACTCGTACGACAACGCAGCCTGCGCAGACCACTTGCGTGAGAAATCACGCAGCGCAACTTGCGCAAAGCAACTTGCTCTGAGCAGACACGCACAAAGCCAACTTGCGCAGAACCAGCTGCACAGAGTCACTCGCGAAAAGTAGCTTCCGCAAAGCCAAGTTTCACAGGTTGCACAGAGCCATCTTGCACATGGTTGCACGAGCCTGCCTTGCAGAAACTGTGGTTGTCTATCGTGGACTTGAATAGAGCAACTTGCAAGAGCAACTTGCACAAGACACTTACGCAAGCAACTTGCACAAAGCACTTGCGCAAAGCCCGCAGCTCCGGCTGGAAAATCGCAACCTCTAAGCGCAAACGTAGTACGCGGAGCGCCTCGAGAGCCTCGACAGCTCCAGCTGGGATTGTGCAGTATCAAACTTATAAGTATACGCGTAGTACGAGAAGGGTGCGCGCAAGTTGGCGCTGTGCATGTCTGCTCACTGCAATGCGCTGTGCGCCAGTTGCGCTGCGTGATTTCTCATGCACGTGGTCTGCGCAAGCTGCGCTGTTCAAGGCTGCTGCTTGCAAGTTGCTCTCTGCAAGCTGCTGCGCGCAAATGGCTCGACATCTGTCTTCAAACTGTTCTGCGCACGTTGCTCTGCGCGAGTTTCTCTCCACAAGACGCTCAGCGCCTGAATCTGTGCGCAAGATGCTCAGCCTGAGCGCAGAACCAGCTGCGCAGAGTCACTCGCGAAAAGTAGCTTGCGCAGAGCCAAGTTTGCCAAGTTGCACAGAGCCATCTTGCACAGACCAAATTAAGTTGCATGAGCCCGCCTTGCAGAAACTGTGGCTGTCTATGGTGGACCATGCCCTTTCCGTTTTCTTTTGTCCCGAGAGCATCGAGAAGGGTTCTTCCGCGCGGGGCCGTTGGGCCAAGTTGCACAGAGCCAACTTGCACAGAGCCAACCTGCGTTCTGCCGAGCCAAGTTGCGCAGAGCAAAGTTGCAAAGTTGCGGCAGGTGTAACTTTCACAGCATTTACCGGACGTTTGCTTCACGCCTTTTGCGCCCCCTTTCCTGAGTCTATTTCGCACTGCCGCGTGTGCACCCTTTTCCCTGCTACTATTGATGAGCACGCGGCATGCAACCTGCGACCGGATGCCTGCGATCCTCCTTGTCCTTGAAATTTCATTTTCTGATCTAGTGCGCAGAGAAGGTGCTCCTCTTTCACTTCCGAGCAGGCGCCGTCTTCATCCATGCTGCCGTCTCTAGGCCCAGCGTAAGTGCAATACACCTATGCGCCGGGTGTTACCAATTCCTATACGGCACGGAACACTCATATCGCTTGCGCAGTGTGCTTCTTCTTGGGCGGCCTTAGGTATAAGGGGAAAGCGCGCCCAAGAGATAACGAAGCCGCTGCGTCGCATATTGTCTGGCCATTCTGCAAAACGCAGGCGTGGGGTCGTTCAATCTGCTCGTGTCGCCTGGCTCCCTTGGCTTCGCGCAGCTTCCCTCAGCGTCGTGTGGCAAACACATTTGCTGCGCAGACACGCAACGATCTCATGTCCAATCCTAAACACAGCGACATGTAG